GGTGTACCAAAAATGGTTACCCAGTTCTGCATGAAAACTTTGGCTACTGTTTCCGCTGTGATGTCCGCTATCGGGATGGCTATAGGGAATCTGGTAAATCGATCTATGCATGTAAAAAGATAATTAAAACCGTTTGAACGTGGTAAAGGACCTACCAAGTCGATATGCACATGGGCAAAACGTGCATCTGGTTGCGAGAAAACACCTATGGGTGAATTTGTGTGACGATTAATCTTTGATTGTTGACATGCTGAACACTCTCTAACCCATTTGTGTACATCCTTCTGTAAATTCGGCCATATATATCTGGCATTGATTAGTTTTGTTGAAGCTTTCGCGCCAGGATGAGACAAAGAATGAAAGTTATTATATATCAACTTTCGCATATTTTTGGGAACGAAAGGTCGCGGCATTGCCTTGGTCGTGTCACAATAAATTAGAATACCATCGATAGGTGATGGGAATTGTTTTAAATTAAGACTTGAATTGTTTGTTTTAAGTAGGTTTTGTAATTCTAGGTCCTGCTCTTGTTCGTGTCTCAACGTCTCGAAGTTTACTGTAGACTGCTGTAGCACGTTCATTTCTAGTCTGGATAAAGCATCTGCCGCCTGATTGTCCTGACCTTTGACATGTCGGATATCGCTTGTGAACTGTGATATATAGTCAAGGTGTCGGACTTCTCGAGGTGAGTATTTATCGGCTCTCGCTTTTAATGCATTCGTCAGTGGTTTGTGATCCGTAAAGACTATAAATTCCCTACCTTCTAACATGTGTCGGAAGTGTTTAATGGTCAGGTAGATTGCAAGAAGTTCTCGCCCGAAGGTAGAATACCTTGTTTCGGCTGGAGCGAGTCTTTTCGAGAAGAAAGCAATTGGTTTCCAGGCGTTTTTAACCAGTTGGTTAAGGGTACCGCCTACTGCTTTATCTGAAGCATCCACCATCAAAGCAAGTGGGGAAAGAGAATTCGGATATATCAACGTAGTTGCTTGAGCCAGTTTATCTTTAAGCTGTTTAATAGCTTCGACGACGTCGGAGTGAATCTGTCAAAGGTTGCATTAATTGTGCACAACCTGGTATGAATCTGCGATAAAAGTTAATTAGACCTAGAAAACTTCTCAGTTGTGTTAGAGAACTAGGTACGGGGTATTGTTTGATGGTATCCACTTCTTTTTTGATAGGTTTAATCCCTTCTGGGCTTATTGTGTGACCGAGAAATTCTAAAGTTTGAACACCGAAAACACACTTACTTTGATGTATGTTTATTCCATGTTCATCCAGTCTTTTCAACACTGCTTGTACATGCTGTTCGTGTGATTGCAAATCGGGGCTGGCAATTAACAAGTCGTCTATATACCCCTGCGCAAATGGCATATCTCGAAGTAGGTTATCTATGAATCTTTGAAATGTCTGTGCCGCATTTCTCAGGCCGAATGGCATGCGTACAAACTCGAATAAGCCAAAGGGTGTTGTAATAGCTGTCTTGGGAATATCTTCATCAGCCACTGGGATATTGTGATATGCCCTGACTAAGTCAATTTTAGTGAATATGTTCATACCCTGTAAACCGTTTGGGAAATCTTGGATATGCGGTATTGGGTACCTATCTGGTACGGTTTGACGGTTTAGGGCTCTGTAATCCCCGCACGGTCGCCAGTCACCTTCATTCTTCTTTGGGACCATATGCAAAGGGGATGCCCATTGACTATCGGAGGGACGGATAATACCCAGTTGGGTTTTGCAAAAACCGGTGCACCTTCGGTTTTGATAGTGTGACTTACTTTTAGTTCGTCTTTGGAAGGCTGTGGGTTTGGTTTAGTTAAGTTTGGAAATTCCGCGAGTATATCTTGGAATTTCGCTGTTGTTACTGGAGGAGTTTGAATCAAGTTAAGAGAGCTGATGTGACTTTCTTTGCCTTTTGTGTAATACGAAGTTTCTTTTAGTGTTAATCGCCGTTTCTTGGTGTCAACTAGAAATTCGTTGACTCTTAACCAACCAACCTAAGCTGTTACAAGCTCAATCGCCTCTAGAATCAGCAGAGACATTGTAGAGCAACATTCTCTACACAACCAACGTGATAATTGCTTACAGCACCGTTTATATGCAGCCGATGTGAGTTCGGTGCACATATTGTGATACCATTTATTGCAGTTGTCACATTGCATACCATCGACAGGGAAATGGTAAGCAGGTCTGCCACAACGATGTTTCAGTTGAGCCATGAATTTGTTTTGTGATTTCACAGTGAAAACTGATCTTTAAGTGAAGAGTCTTTTAAAGCTTGATAAGTGATAGACACTGAACACAAACAAAAACAGAGGTTTATACATAGATGTGCCTAGCAACAATAAAAAAGTTTGAATGATTATTCTTGTTTGGCGTTGTTGGAGCTATATTTCTTCACAGTAATTCTTGTGGCTCATTATCTGACACCGGTTTAACCGCATGAAAATGCTATTGACACAAATCTTTCCCTTAACTACGTACATTCCTTGGGTTAAACCTCAGTGCGTAACGGCGGTTATAAGAAGTCATATAAGCGTTGTGTTGGATAAGTTCATTTCAAGCACTCTTAATTATCCAAACCGACATTTAGAGTGAGAAGCGGGAAAACCAAGTGAAGAGGATAAAGCGAGTGAAGAGGCTGAATATGTATAGTCGAACTGACTTGTGATGAGAAGGATAAGCAATACATACGCTCATATAAAAAACAGTCAAGGTTAATAAACGAATCACTGGCCAATTCGAAATGTAACTCATGAGGAAAGAACGAAAAAAGTTATAATAATCAGCGTGGGCTTGACGTAGTACAAGACACTTTAGATGGACATTTTCGAGCTATTTTCCGGACTCCCTCATTTATCTACGTTTTGGTACAGACAGATCCCGTAGAGAGACTTAAAGTAGATTTATTATAATGCTCGTAATTCTTCACACCTTTATAGACTATTCATATATTTCAATAGAATACCACACTTTATATGGCATTCAATCCGTATTGACAAAAAATGTTTTCAATGTTTGATTCAGAAATTTGTCGAAATCTTTAAAAAAGAAGTTGTAACGGTTGCTCATTCTACTTCATCCCTTAGCCCTTCACGAACTAAGGAGGAATTACTGAAATTGGCACCTGTTGACTACTCTATTGCGAACTAGTTGTTTTAGCCTTTAAGATCTCAAAATGGGTCAAAAACATTTCTCCTCATTTCAGTTTCAGTTTGGGAAGGACAAGAGGCTTGATGGCCTATGTTAGTCCTCGCAATGGTGGTCTCTCAGTTGATCCAACTTTCTTTTGAGAGGGTCGACGGATGGAGCCTCAACCACGTGCTGAGGTAATGAATTACACTCGTTGATGATTCAGTGAGAAAGTCGATAGTCAGCTGACAAGTAATTTGTTCTTGGCTAGTGAACTATTTTGGAGTGTCCTCGTAAATTCTCTGTTTTGGAAGACGAGAAAACTGGGGCATATCAGGTACAAATTTATCACTAAGCAATTAGAAGACTGTAATCAAGTCGCCTCTAGTTCTACGATATGACAACGGGAAAAGGTTCAGCTTGGCCAGTCGAGATTCATACGGAAGCTTCGCTATTCCTGGAATCAGCTTAGTTGCCGTTCTCTGAACCTTTTCCAGAAGCTCACTGTCATTTTTTTAAGCAGGGGCTAGCCGCTTGTATGCAGTACTCAAGTGTAGGACGTACGAACACTGTACACAAATTCAAAAGCGTCTTAGCGTCGACATGACTAAAAGCTCTACGTATTGACCATAACGTTCTGAAACCTTTGGCGGCTATTGCACAGCAGCGTGTAGTAGTCTTTAAGTCTCGGCTAACGATGACTCCTAAGTCATTATATGTCTGGACGACAGGTAGCTCAGTGTTATTCATCGTGTATGTATCTGTACCTTGATGACCGATATGCATCACAACACACTTGGAAGTATTAGTCGGCAACAGCCAGCTTTGAGACCATTCAGATAGCTTCTTCAGGTCATCCCATCTGGGAGACGGGGGACAGAAGAACCTACCTTCCTTGAGCTTTTGTTTAAGGCAGGCCTCTTTGGAGACTGCTTTTCCTTCTTTTACCTGCGTGAGTCATCTATTATCGAACTAACCTTAGTTTGCTTCATGTCGATTTGTGTGTCGACAGATCGAGTGCTGTTTGACGTGTTCCGACTACGCTTGCCAAAACACTTCTTTGCAGCATCAACTAGTGAGATGGCCTCGGTTAACAGGCTGTTTGCATCCAAACAGCACTGTTGACAAAGCCATACGCAACTCTTCATACCGAACCGTTTGAAAGCTGCAGGCGTTAAGTTCGTGCAAACTTCATGGTACCAGCTTTTGCACTCGTTGCACTGCATGCCGCTTCCAACGGGATAAGGCAACCCGGACGTTGGCAACTGCTTTTTTTACACTGTCTGGTCATTTAAAAGGCGTCCTTTTCAAAAAGGAACGAGATGCGATGATGCTCAGAAACGAAAAAATAATCAGTGACGAAAAATTGAAGAACTGTGGATTGTTAGGACCAAAAGTACTGACAGATACAATTGAAAATGAAGTACTCAAGAGTACTAATGAGAAAACTAATTGAGAGAACGGTAAAAGCGGTTTTCTATTCGAATAATTTAACTGAAATGAGTTCAATTAAACTGAAAACAGTAGTCTTGATACGATCAAAACAATGAAATTTACTCAGCGAGCAAAAATACCACTGTCTTTTTTAAATGACGCGCGTCTTTCGACTGCCTATATTCAGAACTCAAGGAACAAGCAGTTTGCTACTACTATTTAGCGAAGTTCATATTTCAAATTTTGAAAACTTACCTATTGAACATAGTTAATAGCGAAGCATCGTTGCTTAAACTTTTGTGGTGTATCACATTTAAAAGTTGTTGCCTGTTTCGCTTGACCGTACGGTTATCAGATTTGGGTTGCTTGACTCATTTTTAATACCGCATAGGCTGTTTTTTCTCTAACATATTCATCATTAGTACGAAACTTTAATGGCAGCATCCCTAAGAGACGATGAGCTGCGGAGGGAACTCAAGGCTTTGGGCTTTGATCCAGGTCCAATAACGGCAACTACAAGGTCTGTTTATATAAAAAAACTTGAAAAGCTCCAAAAGGAGAAGAAGTCATTCAGTGTGGGTATTTCAACAAAAGAAGCATCAGAAACACCTAAACAAATATCTAAGTCACGCAAATCAACTGGGACTATAAATTCAAGCTCTTCAGGAACAGAAGGTTCCAGTGTAATCAGTCGTAAGCATACAACTATCGAATCGAACCATGACATAGGTATGTTATTTGATCTTAAAGTTACTTGTGTATACCTTCGTAATGCAATATTTTGTAACACATAGTCGATATCTTTTGCTTTTCATGAATTCTCTGAAGATGCTTATGTCATCGTCGAAGTTTAGTACTAGCTTATAAGCATTGTAGATGTATAGACACCATGATTTCAAATACTTACGAATGGTTTCTCAATAAACTTTGTTCTACTTGAATTGAGTAATTGAAACGACTATAACTTGGGGATCTTTCCTTGCAAACAGCTGCATTTACATCATATTCAGAGGTTTTTTCAGGTGTTGCCATTCTTGTCATCTGTATGATAAGAAGCCAAATATTTATGTCCTAAGGGGATTCATTTGTATCACATCTATCTGTAGCAAATACGAAATTTGTAGGTGCGGAGAATATTCACATGTGACATTTCTGAAAATGAGACCAAATTAGATTAACTGACAGTCTAGCACATTGTAATGTAATAAATGGTTTTTCATTTTATTGTCTATTTAGGCACTCAAAAGTGCTTTAGAAATCATAACTTCGCCGCTCCGTGCGATATCTAACATGGATAAGAAGCAACATTGGTATAACTACATCATAGTCTTCCGTCTTTCAGTCGAACTTTTATGTATCTTAGGACCAATTTATTATCCCTTACTATGAAGCTGAAATACTCTTCACAGTGATCTGTACCATTTCCTTATTCTCTTATATTTCGTTCAGCAAGTTTGCATAGTTGTGACGCAAAGTTAGCTTTAAACAACAATTAAGTTGTTGTTGCACACTTGTCTTATTGTGCATGTTATAAGTTCAAACCATATGTCAAATTAGAGGTACTATTATTAGCACTTTGTAGGTATGCAGCCTTACGTAGTAAGTTTCACGTCGTTGGGTTTTCCATAGCAATTAACTCGTAATTGTGCGTGGTTATTGTCACAGTATATATTTGTATGATTGTTAAGTAAACAAACTCCGAGCTTACAAGTATTTATTCTTATTGGTGAAGTAGACAATCCTAAATAGATTGATACTCATTCAAAAAAGATAAAGTTCGTGATTATTTCTTCAAGGCTTATTAATACTTGAGTATTTGGAAAATCGAATTAGCAGGCTTGTGCATGGTCATATGCTCATATAATATTAATTATTTCAGGGATGCAGATCATGGAATTACTCTTCTGCTTTTTAATTTTCGATCTAGGAACAGAGAATAAACACTTTCCCAGTAAACAATATTCAAAATCCAAGCCACCTCTTACCGGACATAATGTGGATTTATCTGAACCTTACACTGATATACTTCCGAGCTTAATCCCAATAGGAACATCTCAAGCGGAACCCGTGAATAAGTTTCGTAACGATTCCGATATGATCACTCCAGTTTCTTCACATACGCAGTATCCTGCACAAAGATTTTCACGTGACCTCAATCAGAGCTCAGTTGATTATACACCCACCAGGAAAACGTATATTTATATTAAGGATGATTCTGTAGACGATGATACAGATGACGAATTATCAAAACCAAGTTCGATGTCATCCACCTTGTCCAGAGTTACTGGTTGGCTCAATCGGAGTGCCCATGAATTTACGAAACCTAGGTCTCCAAGGGATGAGTCTGTTTATGAAAAATCCAAACTTAGTGTTCGTCGTTCCTCACACAGCAATGATCGTTTACAAATATCAGATACAGATAGTTCTGATATAGAAAAGTCCACTCAGAGCCCTTTCTTCAAGAGACTGTATTCCTCTCCATTCAGGTTTGCTCTTTGTTTCATTTAGTCTTTTATTTCAAGCAATTTTCAATTGTGCATATTTAAGCAGGTAATATTTCACGTAACCAGTTAAAGTGCTGTCATTTTGCAGCCGTCTGGACAGCTTCTGAAGTACCTATCACAGTGTTTTAAAAATTCAAATATGACTAGTTGTATTTAGAGCTGCGTGTTTAACTCTATGCATAATCCAATCTTGAAACATGATAATATCACATAAAGTAAATTACCACTTATTGACATATGTATGAAGTTAAGCAATAATAATCACAGTGAAAAGCTGCGACAGACAAGAATGCAATAAAAATTTACAACAGGGTTACCACTGTTTTCCAATCTTGAACATGTGTAGATACTTCCAAGATACTGCTCGTTGTGATCTCTGGGGGCTCTTCCCTAAAATTACAACAAAACAATGGGTCCTTATGTTACACAACTATCCCTCAACTCATGGTAATGTTGTAGACTAACCTGGCCAATCGAACTTTGACCTGAGACAAAGGAACCGCGTTTTGCGCGGTCTGTGAGTGATAATGGAAACCAATATTTTAGATCCAGGTGATAGTACACTTACCATGCCCACTATGGGTAGTACAAAAGTCCTAACGTTAATCAAGACAGTGGGATGTCATAGTGTTTGACTTTTGCCTCAGTAGGTTAAATTAGTTGGTTTGTATTTGCATTAAGTGGTTTTACGGTTCGTCATTAAAATTCGTGTCATTAATAGAGTTCCAAATATCTTCTTCCACTGACTTTAGGAACATGAAATCGCGAGATACTGGAATCACAACGTCTCCTGGTCTTCTCTTCACTCCACCATCTAGGAATCTTGATAAGCCGACATATCACGGTGTTTCTATTTTATCTGAAGATACTGATTTCAATGATCTTGTTCGTAGCCAAAAGCAGCGTGATCAAAAGAACAGCTTTTCAAATTATTTCTTATTTGGGAAGCATTTCCCTTGCAGTGTCTCAAATATCCCTAATTTGATTCTTATTTCAAGCATAATCGTGTGTTTTATGTTAGTTGCAAGTTATTTATTCTTGAAGGATCACCATGGAGAAGTTGGTAAAATGGCAGGTAAGCCATAAGGATGTGACACCTCACATGTTATATCAGTGATTTCTAATTCGATAATCATAGAGTTGATTTTCCGTGTTTTAGTTTCGCCACCAAAGTGTTTTGTGATTGCGTTCTCTCAACCTACTTCGACTCGTTGTTTGGGTCGTTGATGTAAAAATCACTGAAAATGTAATTGGATGTCTTAGTTGGAAACCCATACTTGGTTTATGAATTACTTCATGTATTATATATATATATATATATATATATATATATATATTGTTGTGGATCGCGGGGTGGCTACTCTAATTTCTACCGACTAACCAACTTCAGATATTCCAGTACGACCCCAAAACTCTTCCCCAATCTCCAACATATCAGAACACGGACCGTAGATGAAATTGTTTATGGGGTCAGGAGAATAAAAATAGGAATAGGAATAATACTTTACAGACGAATGCATATTTATACAGTTAAGACTACCGTGAATATTGACCAACAGGAAAATGACACCATTTCACGTTCAAGGATAGCATTAGACTTAACAGGATAATGTTTGGCATATTTTTCTGAATATCCCTATATATATATATATATATATATATATATATATATATATATATATATATATATATATATATATATATATATATATAAAAATTTCGATAGAACAATGAGAAGACGGAGTTGATCTGAAAAATGTGATGTATTCGCGCCATACATTTCGAACAATCTGGTCACACATACTTGTCAGGGCATTTAATATGGAAATCAATAAGGGTCAACTAAATAAAAGTTCAAGTAAAAAGTAACAAAGGGGAGAGAAACAATCTTACATCGTATAGAAAGAATAAAAAATTATCGCGTTATCCTAGGCCATAGAATGATTTATTAATTACCAGGGTAATTTCATGGTTACGACAAATTGTCTTTGTACACGTAAGGAGAGCTTAAAGTTACGAATAGCCAAGGCTTCAGTAAACTTGAGAATTCGTCCTTGACAATTTCTATGCAACTTTTTAAAAGTTGTATTAATGTCGATTTTGTGCCCCATTTCAATTATATGTTTCGCTATCGATAAACATGGTTCTCTACCTCCCACGTTAACCGGATCATTCGACACTAATTGGTTTTAAAACCATCCAGGCACATGTTCAGTGACCCTTGATTGCATTGTCCGATGTAAAATTGTATAAAATGAAATTATAAGACCGTAAATTGGTATGTAATAGCTAATAACTCGATTTCAATTATACACTTGCTATTTTAGAAATAAATGACATTGCATTTCGAAATCTTCACTCATGTACATCGCATTGATATTGATTAACACCTTTTCCTGATTGTTAACATAACTCCTCACTGTTATCAATGTACGATATGTATGCAGTTGTTGTTCATGTTACGACTCAAAGTCGTTTGGATTGGAACAGGTGCATTCATTTTTTGTCTTCGCACGAGTTCTGAGCTCTTGAATTCCCCATAACTTTTCCTGTTTTCATTTCACTAATTTACATTTTCTTGACTCGTTTCTTTGATACCTAATCTTTTCAATCACCCCTGATACTGTTACTTCATCTACTATTCTGGGATTTAAGCTGATAATTTCATCTCTGCTATTCGGTATGACAGCCTGGACCGATGTACAGGTTCCACGTTGTGACTGACTGTTTATCTGTCTAAGGCCATACAAAGTGTAATTAACTGGTAAATATCATCTTTCTAGCTGATGAATCTTCTTAACTCACAATATATAGCATTTAGCAGCTTCAACTATTTGCTATTTATTGTCCAACCACTCCTACTGAGAATCTTGTTCAGGTACGATGTTACTGTTCCGTATCGAATGCTATGTCAGCTAATCCTCTTTGGTATTACAATTATAATTCGTCATTTAATGGAATCCATTTTAGCGTATTGTGTCACATGCTATTATTTATTCACAGTAAGATGTATTTCCTGTTTTTTCTTGTCATTATTTTATGATTGCTGGTGCATACTTATATATCTACTATTTGAGAGTAAACAGTAATTTCCAGAGGCATTATTATGACTCTAGTCTGATTTCGTTTCACATTTATTTAGATGTACAGAAGTTACTTTGTCGATCTCCAGGCGACTACAATAATAGTCTTACAAAAGGCTTACATGTAAGTTTGTTCGATTAGTTGTAATTCCCATCTTTATCCAGCGCTGCCTACATGAAGATGATCTAACTGCATCCTTATGGGTTCTTGGGATTTTATATGATATTCTCAGTCGTTACGCTGGTAAGCCTTTTTGATTATTTGTGGAATTACCTTTTATGAGCTAGTGCAATGTAAGGAATGACTAGAAATCATACGGCATTAACAATTTGTTTTTAGTTAAGCTACCAACGATGTATCGAAATCTGACATTTTCTATGTGTTAGCATCGCGTTTTAGAAATGTTCGCTTTTCAGGTAGGATTAGAGCACTCAACTGTCGCATACTTGGTTGCTCGTTCGAAGCCATTTTCACTCACCTCAATTTAAGCTGTCGAGTGATTTCGCTAACCCAAAATTCAGAAGTGTGGATGAAGGCTGAATACACGAATCTGCAATTAGTTACTAGGTTGCACTAGATTCCAATTAAAAATTTAGTTATCGTGTTTAATGAGTATTTCAAGGATTATCCGTTTGTTTATTTCGTTTTCATATATCTCACTGAGTTGCAAATTTTTTATTTTAGGGGAGTTTTACTGTAAAGTTGGAGTTTTAACTAGTCCTCGTCTAGATGTATCTTCTGCTGAACGTCTAGTTGAGCACAGCTTACAAATGAAAGGCTGGCCAACATTTCCGAAAACTGATTTTCGTCGGGTGTGGGATAATACACTTTATTTGTTACTTCATGTTGGGAAGATACATTTTAGTCTTGTTGCTGTTGACGTTAGCAAATCTGAACTAGGACCACTCAAGTAAGCTAGTCAAGTATCTAAAATGTTTGCTGTTATGACACTCGTACTGTATTTGATAGTTGTATTTCTCTGCTTTTACAAACAATTATGCTATCAGTAAGTAGTAATAGTTAGCGGTGCTATATTGCAGTCATGTAGAATCAGACAATTTGCTATGTATCAAAGCAGTAATTAGGCCTTCATAATATGGTTAACGTGCCGCATTAGAATAACTTGAAATAACTTACGAATTCTAAGTTTATTTTAGCACTAGTAATATAAAATAAAAGTAATATAATCCATGCAAGACTATCCGGTTACCCAAATCGAGTTCCTAACCTGCAATCTACTGGATAGAGGGTAAATGTCTTAACTACTCAGCTATATTTCTACTACTTTGAAAGTTTTTACTGCCATCTTTTGGTCGCTCCATATTCTTTGTAACTATCTACATGAATTTTCTCCTCGTTCAGTGGTATCAAATGTAGGTTTAAAAACAATGTTTGTCATCGCTTTTTCTCCATTTGTGGGACTAAACCATATAAGTGAATGTAAATCCTCTATCATAGGGTTTACAAACTTTATAGTATGCAACATATCATCTCATAATAAGTGAAGATTCTTTCGATCCTAATAAGCGATTATCTATTTATTCACAACAATTCAAAATTTAAAGATATGATGTTTGTTAACCAGATGACACGTTCAAATTAATAATTGATATGTGGTTTTATTTATTTATTTAGTCGAGTAATCCAAATCACTGAACTTGAAAGTCTTAAACCATATTTTCCTGGCGTTTGTCGACTCCGACGGTGTTTTCAATGGTTTGCTGGTGTATGCGTAACTTTTTTCTGGGTCGTATTAGTTTGTGTGATTATTTTGGGGGTTTGTTATGGAGTTTATCTACTTCGCTCTAGAAAATTACGCGCATTAGAACGTCAAAACTGTCGAGTAAGAGAACTGGTGGCAGAAGTTGTATGTAAGTACGGTGTCACTATAAAAGTTGTCAGGTAATTTTTTGACTTATTGAAATTTAGTTTTGTTAAGTGTTAATCGTGTAAGTAACCGGGTATTATACGTTATTAGTTGTACACTCTACTACGAATAACCATGAATTTATGTGTAGTTCATGAAAATGAGAAACTAGAGCTCAGAAAAAGGATAAAAAGCTTTTGGTTCCTGTTTGTAGTTAACTGAGACATGGCTTTTAAGTAAGTATCCTCTAGAATGTGTACCGCAATCGCTTTGACAGTTAAGCGTCTTGTCCCAGCCTGTCGTGGAAAAGATATTTATGATAGAAATAATTTATTCACAGGTATCTTGTTTACATATTATGGTTACTCAGAAATGATTTTGATGTTTATCAACATAACGAGTTTGGTTCCCACTTGACCGTGACTGAAAATATCTTCTTGATCTATAAGTGGAGCAGAATTTTCATTCAAATGATTTTTTAGCTTATTCCTTTGTAATTAATTTAACTGATTGTGTACAGTTGACAAAATTCTTAACGAAATGCCTCATTCATATGCTTTATTGATCGTGGTTTCACAAAAATCAATATTTTCTGATTTATTTTGTTAAACAATAGTGCGTATTTGCAGCTTAAATTATGTTGGTTTTGTCAGTAGTTGGTTCTTTTCTCTTTCATAACTGCCCCAACATTAGGTTGCTTGTGTTAAATTATTTTTCAGTGATACGAACATCTGTGGTATAATGAACCGTAATTTCTATTGAATTATTTTTTTATTTATCTCGGTTATAATCCTTTTGGTTTTGTGCTTGTGAATAGACTTGCTACAAGATCAGTTACGAGAAAATGAAGCCAGTGCTAATCAGCCTCCTTATGTTCCTGTCTATATGATACGTGACCGCTTGCGTCAAAAACATCACGAGTAAGTAGTAGTTGTTTTTTCGTTTGCTCAACGTTTCTTTAATCAATAAATTTTTGATGAAAAGCCAGTAATATTTTCATGAAGAGATCTGTGGTTCCGTTGTTGTTTCATTAAATTCTAACTTATCACATATTGAAATCATATTTCTTTTTACCTTAGTAACAAAGAGTTCAAGATGTTTTAAAATTTAACTGAAACATATGAGACTAGATCCCTACTCCATGGTTACATATGAATGAACATTTTGTTATAACCCTAAGCTTTCAACCATTAAGTTTCAAGTTGAAATGCTAATCCTCCTTAACTCGATTTAGTCAGTTGTATTGTGTCAATAGACCTCATATACCGAAATCGTATTTCAAAGCCAAACACACGAACCTGTTCTTTATTGAAATTCGAACTAGTCTTACTTCATATTTGGAGTAAACTACAAAGTAAAAATCATCTAAATTAGCCAATATTTTAAAAGGTGGATATGTACACTATGTAAGTGATATTTTTGACAATGTGTTAGTACGCTTTTTAGTACAGTATATATATATATATATATATATATATATATATATATACCGTGTCATAACTGTTCTTGAGAAATTATTTCGGTATGTGTGGGATATTTCATTAAGTTTGTTTAGTCTATTCGCGTTGTGTCCTTCAATCCTTTATTACATTTATTGAGTAAACCTATCATTTCATTGTTCATGTTGTAAACGACGACTTTGACACTTCAAGAATCAGGGGTTTTCAAAATGAAAATGATGAAAAACATTTTCAATTTGTTTTGATTGCCTACTTTTTTAATCTAAGCTGTTAAGTACACTAAACTTTTCTACTGCACTTTCTTGTATACAGCTATCTATCCAGGATGGTTTGTTTTAATTATGTAAATAATAATGAAATTGGAATCAAAGTAAAATTACTTTTGTTCAATTCAGCTTGAATGTAGAAATCACTTTAACATACAATCAGATAATGAATACGTTTATATATAGATATGTCTTAATATTGAAAAATCACTAATGAATAAGCAATTTGTCGATAAGTCTTGCAATTTTAGAAACAACAGTATTAGAGAATAAGGGAGATTGTAGAAGACAATGTACATGTTAAGCATGGTGTACAATAACAGCGGACTCGAGGTTAAGTTCTTGATTACATTCATACGGTAACATACAATTTCTTTCCGCGAAATTTAAATTTCTTTCTGTTTTTAGCTTAGATCGGTTCTGGCCTGAAGTTACGCGTTATGTTTATGAAGTAGAAACTTGTATCGGTGTACAAGAATGGAGAGGTGTAGGTGAAACATGGCAGTGGCAAAGTGGCACAGGTTGGCAAGGTTCTGGTAAGTGATTATTGATTGTATATAACCACAAAATAAGTGTACAGTATTATCAAAAAAGGTTATCCTCTTGAAACCATTGTTTACCATGTATAATTTTTGGTGTTAGGTTTTTAAAGTCATTATTATTATTATTATTTTTCAATTTCAACTTTTCATATTTCGGTATGCTGTCCACATATTGTCTTCACTACTGGCGTTATTTCGGTTTACTTTTGTCTATTTACAGTGACTATCATATTATTGGTCGTAAGATTCGTTGGTATGTAAGACAAAACAATATTTCCAATTTTGTCCCTGTCATTTACGACTAACGTTTCACACACATGCATACTAAACATCTATTTATAATGTATCATCTGTGTGAAATAAATTGACTGTTGTAAATGCTTAGCTTTTCAAATAAACTTTCTAGTATTTAATCGTTTGTAAGTAAATAAGTCGCATAATATTGTAGATGTAATAACATAATACTGTCTTCTGGACAACAAATCGTTCCTTCCTTTGTATACATATATCTCTAATGGTATACAATTTATATAGCACATCCTAATGTAATTTTATTCCAAATAACGGTATTTTTGGTCTGTTTATTTTGTTGAAGAAAATGGTGACAGAAAAGTTTTCATGAACTTTCTGTCTTAATAAGTTAAAGCGTATTTTCTTATGGTCGTCAGTTAGTCAGTAACAATGTAGAACTTCGTACGTATGTACATCGGTTCGGGTTGTCATACCACATCAGCACAGAGATGCAGTTGTCGATTCAAATCCCGTAGTGGTAGAGGTAGTAAGAGTTTAAGCAGAAGTCGGAAAGATTAGGGTTTGGAGATGTTATTTAAAGAGTATAATCCAGTGAAATAAATTTAGGAGAAAAAAGGGACATGAAGAATTCAGAAGATTAGAATTTGGGAGAACACAAAGAGTGGATGCACCTGCGCCATTGCAAACGATTTTGAGCCATGTCATTCAGGGTCTCTAACCATCGGTTGTTATCATCTCGCGGTCCCCAACCAGGTAGTCTACACCTACCAACATGACTCAGTTCACTTGTCAGTGACTTCATGGACTTGTGCCATGTTTTGGTTTGGCCGCCCCTAGCTTTCTTCCAACCTACTCCTATACCACTGAACATAGCACGTCGAGGCAGTCGGTCGTTGGGCATACGTAACACGTGTCCAAGCCATCTCAACTGATGAAGTTTCACTACTTCATCAATTGATTTGCCATCCTTACCTAGTACCCGTTTCCTAACAACTGCATTACTTACTCGATGGTCCCATGATATACGAGCAATGCTTCGAAGACACCTATGATCAAATACTAGTAACCTACGAATATCCTCTACTCTTACCGGCCATGTTTCACTGCCATAAAGTAGGACGGAACGAACTGCTGCGCAGTAAACCCGTCCTTTGGTTGATAGACGGATATCTCGCCTACGCCATAAATGACGCAAGTTGGCAAAAGCTAGTCGAGCCTTCTGTATCCGTGCTGAGATTTCGTCACACACCAGACCACAAGGGCTGATGAGACTTCCAAGATAAGTGAAGCGGTCGACACGCCCAACTACTTCACTCCCTATCATTAGTTCGGGTGTCGATGCAACCCAATCCTGAAGCAACATTTTGCATTTCGAGGGGGAGAATCGCATCCCGAACATGCTTGCATTGTTGTTTAGAGTGGTCAGAAGACTCTGCATTTTGTCAGCGTCTTCACCAAATAAAACTATGTCATCGGCATATTCTAAGTCAAAAAGTGAATCTCCCGGTAGAAGTTCAACCCCTGTAAATTTAGATGAGGAAAGTGTTATCTCTAAAAGTACGTCGACGACAAAGTTGAACAAGAATGGGGAGAGTGGACAGCCCTGACGAACACCACTTGAGGTAATCAATTCTGATGACAGTTCGCCATAAGCTCTCATTCAACCAGTTGTGTTCGAGTAGAGAGCCTTTATAAGGTTAATGTACTTTGGTACTCCTTTCAGTGACAAACACTGCCATAGAACCTCACGATCAACAGAGTCGAATGCCGCCTTAAGGTCGAGAAATACTACCATTGTGGGGCGTCTGAATGTGTGTCTGTGTTCTAGGACCTGACGTAGTGTGAATATCTGGTCTATACAACCACGTCCAGGTCGAAAACCAGCCTGGTTTTCTCTAGTCTGCTCTTCACGAGCTTTGGTTAGGCGTCGAAGTATTATTGAAGCTAATATTTTAGACACTATATTAGTCAAACTGATTCCTCTGTGATTGTCACAAGAGGACTTTTGTCCTTTCTCATAGACTGGCACAATCAGTGATTGAGACCAGTCAGATGGGATTACGTCCAGTTCCCAAATTCTACCTAAGACCTCGGTTAATCTCATTGCTAATACTGGACCACCATCCTTAAAAATCTCAGGAGTAAACCTGTCAGGGCCTGCTGCTCTCCCTCGTTTCAGATTTCCTATGGCTTTTTCAACTTCGTAAAGGGACGGAGGACCTACATTAACTTGCCATTCAGGTTGACTAGAGATCGTGGGAAACCGAAGTGTGGCTGAAGGCCAGTTGAATTGATCCCTGAAGTGTTCTGCCCATCGACCCAATCTCCTGGATTGAGGATGAATAATGTGTCCATCTTTTACCGTGATAGTTTCGCTAACAGTTGGGTTCTTAATACCGGTTTCTCCAACACGTCTGAACAGTTGTCTCCTACTACCTATTGCCGCTGCCTTTTCAATCTCTCTTGCTTTCGCTACCCATCACTATTCACGATCATTGCGTAGACTTGTTAGCTTGCGCTTAAGCTGACTCCGCTCTTCGTTATGTTCAGAGCCAGATGGAATGAGTTTTCGAGCATCTATCAGTGCGGTAGATGCTGTTGAGATCCAGTGTTTCTCCCTAACCTTGTGGTTTACCGTACTTGCAGATGTCAATGCTGTTTCCATAGCTTTCCGGATGTCATTCCACACTGCCTCGGGGTGGGCATCACATACATGGCTGCCTAACAGTTTTCCTAGTTGTTCCTGAAATATGATCGACCTATTTATTAATATTGTTTATCTTTGTTTTTGTATATAACCTAATGGACACCTCATATGATACTCGGTTTTAACCAAATTATCACCAGCAACTTTACCATCTAACAATATTCTGTCAAGCTAAATAATTCATTTTTACACAATAGAAATAAATTCATTCAGTGTCTCATTACTTCATTCAATAGCGTGTTTATTTTTCACATCTTATAGTATCCTTAGCACGTATACGAACAAACGTAAATCGTTGCTATTTCACAACCACTCTGTCGCTACCTACCCTGAAGATATATGTTAGATTGTCTAAGAGCGAGTTGAAACAAATCTAGGGGCGATAATATGTTTGTGCTCAAAGCTAGTATTTCGCAGTCAATGAGCCTATCTTCTTTTCCCTTACAGTGTCGTAATAGAAACTTTATTGATAAGGTCATTAGTAGAATTTTATATATATATATATATATATATATATATATATATATATATATATATATATATATATATATATATATATATATATATATATATATATATATGAGTGATTAGCAATTACGAGCTAAGTAATTGTCACCAAATGCCCTGGTACAGCCGAGAGTGAGGAGAGTCACCTTTCCCTCTCGAAATGCTTTCACATGACCACGTAGATACAACCACTGCCAGGAAAGTTTTTCTCATTGCCTTCTCGCGACGGGGGTGTTGTTTACGAAATTCAGAGGACGAAAATCCAATGTCCGGTGCTTTAACCGAATTAGTGGGTATGGAGAATCCATCTAGAGAAGTTGGAAAACCCTGATTCCAAACCAATGGTGCACATGGGCTCCAGGATCCTGAGTGAACAAATGACGTATGGACCAATTATTGGTCACCGGCTACCATGGGACTACATCTTTTGACGTTGCTCCACTACCTTGTGGGTCAGACCTTTAGGTTGAAGGCTCCGTGTGTGGTCTATTAAGGAAATCACCTGCTTCGGTCTGGGCACTCAGGTAGTATCATAGCCCACACACAAATCAAGTGATTTGTGTGGCGCATATTTATTCGGTTCCTCTTTATACCAATATTTATGTGTTCAAATAAATAAGTAAATGAACACCAAACGTAAATCATCGTTAAAAGGCATTGAAAGTTTGTATATTTAATATAAACTGTTAAAAGTTGATCTACATCCACTTTAAATGAATATTGATTTCCTTCCTCATAAGATGTATTTGAGGGTTCCACATCTCCACCATGCGACCGAACCAAGACACGGCATCAGCCCATGAAATCATTGACTGCTGGTCTGAGTTATGTTAGGTCCAGACTATCTGGTTAGGATTCGCATAAAAACTCAATCGATAGTTGAAGATGTTGAATGATATGATTCATAATCAGTCACAGTACTGGACATGCATTCCTTTTAATCTTTGTCTTTCCTTAGATCTTCAGCTTTAAAATTATCACACACTTTTTATTTCACGGACTTAATTTTTTCTAGAATAGTATTGTTTAAGCCTCGTGTCACTTACTACCAGTAGTACTGTTACTGCTTCTACTGTAACATTTTTCATGATAATTTCACCTTGCTATTTTAATATGATTTAATAGCTTGAACCGGCGCACGAATATTTCAGGTTCTACGTTGAATATGACTGACTAACGACTATAGGCACTAGCTCAGTGGTTTAAGAGTTTGACTGTCAACCACGAGGGCGCATTTTCGGACGTCGCTTCATATACTTCGGTTTGACAAACCGGGTCGTGTTACTTTCTATCATAATTAGTGTACCTCAAAGCTAAGTGCAGAAATCTCTATCAGGTAAAAGCATTTGAATCGACCAAACTTAAATCAATTGACTATCTTCCTTCTCTGTAAACGTATGTTTGGTGTTTAGTTGTGAAGTGTGCAAGTTTTACAAAACTCACCCCGTTATATAGTTACAATGGCTTATCTAATACCTCTCTTTCATGTTACAGCACTTATGGACACGTCACAGAAGCCAAGTTTTATTGTTCCCCCAACGGAGTGCTTGAAAATAAGGAATATGTTTTCTACTGAGTAAGTGTCCTCATGTGAATAATGTTTTCTTTAGATACAGTCATACATGTGTTAGTACTTATTATAAAGTAAAAATTGTTTAAGGTTCATGTGGTTTTGAGGCCATAACTTTGTACTAATTATTTGTCTCGTTTTCTTTCACTATATTATAGAAGTATCGATGAACGTGGACGTAAAAGAATCAAACGCGAACTCTTAAAAAAATTAATGCCTTGTGGGTCCATTTTACACATAGGTTTAGATAGTGTTGGAATAAATGTAAGTGATTTGCTAAAATTGTTGGAGCAATGCCGTCAAACAAGGGTTCTTCATATTACTTATTTTTAAATCCTAGTTTTCAGCTAACTCCAATTACATAAATTTGGATATCCTGGTTGTTGTATTAGTTTTTAAAATAAATGTTGTTCGGCCACTGGTGCACAGATTTGTACATGTTTTTTTGGTTGGAATAATTGGAAATTGAACCAAAAAGCTAAGTACCTAACGGCATTTTATTTCCAAACAATTATCCATCTTAAAAATCCCCTAATTTATTTTCCATGTGTGTTTACGAAATGTTTTCATTCATCCTCTAGTCGTTCTTTAAAATAATCATGCTAATTTTCAGCTTTAGTGGATGTTTTGCTCTCAAAGGCATAGGGTTTAGTTAAGTTTGTCAGAAATGGGTTTTATGGAGATCGCAGTAATTTCAAATTTGAATTCATGAGCTTTCACTGTCGTTCTAGACCACATAATTAGCACCTACTTTATATAGAAGATGGCGTTTTAATTATTTCACAGGAAACTATCCAGGAAACCTCAGTTTTCCCTCATAAACTGATATAATCACTTAATTCTATTTTATTGAGACCTAAAGACATAGCGACAAAAAGCGATAAATGCAACATCATCTACAAAATAAATTGCACCAGTTGTGAAAAGTGTTACTATTGAACATAGTGAACTCCCTCTCTACCTACGCATAGATGAACTTTGATTAGTAGTGAAACTATATTATGTATTGCCACCAGTATTAATCCACACATATGAACGTGAATTCGACTGAGAAAACGACGAAATTCTGGACCGGAGGGACTAATTGCTGGAAAATTTCTACGGTCATGGCATCAACACACATATCGACAGAAATTTAATCTACCGAGACATGAAAAGAGTCCATTCATTACATGGTGAGATGTCATTTGAGATAAACCGTTAATAGGAATGCAAGAATAATTTATGACAATAAATGTTATAAAAATAATTAAAGGCTAGCAAAGCAATTTGAAAAAACTGATGTAACGCTTGTAGAATAATTGAAAAGCTGGTTTCTACATGAATTAGTCACTGATGTGTCTAATGACAGTAAAGGCTTCACTAATAAACCATTTAGCTCATAACATAACGCCTGGAATTTTCTGGTAGGATCTACTGACTTGAGATTACAGTTCTATTGGGTCTAGATTCTAGTTTCGGAAAGAACAAACAATCATTTAGAATTGAACGATATAATCGTTTTTGAAGTTTTCAAAACTTATTTTGATAACATAACATTGGCTATTTTTAACTGGGATAAGGCGGTATTCTAGTACACTTATAACTTTTTTTGTTATTGACTAATGTTGTTGAATAGTTTACTACTTGTGAACAAGGCAGCATTGTTACTGGCATTCCTACCGGTAAAATAGACGCGGAAGTTTCTACGCGACGTTTTTTATTTTTTGTCTAGAGACAAAGTTACACTTCAATTGATACTTGAGTAATATAACGTATGTGAGGAACCAGCGTTCTAAAATCGAATTTTCTAAGATTTGCTACGAGTATTCTGTGATAATTTTTTCGAAAGATAGCGTGTTATTTTTACTTATTAGTTCTAGAAGACCCGTAAAAACTCATATTTTTAGTTTCATTGATATATGAAGGTTAGCGCTATAGTCTATCTGTGGATGTGAAATTAAATGGGGTTGGTTAAGAAAATACAAAGTTCCGTCCCAGTTAGCCGATGTTATTTTCAGATCTCGTCTGTGGGACAGTAATATTTACTGAATACAAATAGATCCAGTTAATATGTAGAATATTGACCACTCCCATTGTATGACGAACTAAAAGCTATTTGTGAAATAGCTGTAATAACCACCTAAGGAACCAGTTGTTGCACAGTTGTCTCAAGTGGAGCATTTCATCTCAATGGATGAATGTGCAGATACATGGGAGATCAATCCCACCTAAATTTTGAATTAATGAATGATTTGTAGTTTATATCCTTTTATGATTCATCGTGCATTTAACTTGTAGATATTTAAATTGGTTCGACCGTTTTTTGTCAATCATTCATCTAAACAAACCGTAGTCTCACGGTGAAGCCTGTTAAAAATGTGGTTCATGTTAATGGACCTCTGTAAATATACATTACAAAATATCATTACATGAATCGTAGTGAAATAATATTTTGCGTTACCCGATTGATGTTAACAAAGGAGCCAAACTGTGAACTTACTGACGATAATAATATAATATCTGATAGTCTAAACATGTGTTTCAGTTGAGAAATAATTCATTCTATGTTTAACCTATAAATATTTAGCTAGCTGTGTTACACTTCTAAACGTAGCATCAGTTTTATCTGAAGGCATGAAACCAACCTGAATATATCTTTAATTTGTTCAAACGATATTTTTTAGTCATAAATAGATATCTGTTGTGAATTTTCGGCTTTCTCGATTTTCTCATCTCAGGGATTGGTGTATGTAAAGTGTGCAGATCCGGAAACTGCAGGTCGCGTTTTCCACTCGATACATGCTAATTATTTTGATGGTAAGTTATGTGAGATATAGTTATTTTATCAACTCGTTTCCGGGTTTCTTGTTTAGCTTATGAAAGCATTATCTTTGGTGTGTTTCTTTTTGGAATTGCTCAGTTTTTTTAAGTATCTGTATATCTATTCACGTTTCGTCACTGCATGGTCTTCCATCAGTTTCCGCAACTCAAGTTTTTTTTATTATAGTACTAAATTTCATATATTTATTGTTTATTTATTTGAACATAAATGTTGATACAAAGTCAGTCAGTTAGCTACAACGTTGGACCAGACATATATATGCATCGGCCCGAGTTGCCATACCTCATTAGCACAGCAAGATGAACACCGGATTCAGAGAACTAGTTTATTCCGTGGCGGTAATATATAAAATAAAGATTGCGTATAAGGACATAGTACAGGAAGAAAGAATTAGTACGTAGAAAGATATGAAGCGATTTTAATCTTATAGTTTAAAGGAAGACAGAGAATGTATAAACACGGAGCCTTCGACTTAAAGGTCTGACCCACAAGGTAGTGGAGCAACGTCAAAAGATGTAGTCCCATGGTAGCCGGTGACCAATAATTGGTCCATACGTCATTTGTTCACTCAGGATCCTGGAGCCCATGTGCACCACTGGTTTGGAATCAGGGTTTTCCAACTTCTCTAGATGGATTCTCCATACCCACTAATTCGGTTAAAGCACCGGACATTGGATTTTCGTCCTCTGAATTTCGTAAACAACACCCCCGTCGCGAGAAGGCAATGAGAAAAACTTTCCTGGCAGTGGTTGTATCTACGTGGTCATGTGAAAGCATTTCGAGAGGGAAAGGTGACTCTCCTCACTCTCGGCTGTACCAGGGCATTTGGTGACAATTACTTAGCTCGTAATTGCTAATCACTCATATATATATATATATATATATATATATATATATATATATATATATATATATATATATATATATATATATATATAAAATTCTACTAATGACCTTATCAATAAAGTTTCTATTACGACACTGTAAGGGAAAAGAAGATAGGCTCATTGACTGCGAAATACTAGCTTTGAGCACAAACATATTATCGCCCCTAGATTTGTTTCAACTCGCTCTTAGACAATCTAACATATATCTTCAGGGTAGGTAGCGACAGAGTGGTTGTGAAATAGCAACGATTTACGTTTGTTCGTATACGTGCTAAGGATACTATAAGATGTGAAAAATAAACACGCTATTGAATGAAGTAATGAGACACTGAATGAATTTATTTCTATTGTGTAAAAATGAATTATTTAGCTTGACAGAATATTGTTAGATGGTAAAGTTGCTGGTGATAATTTGGTTAAAACCGAGTATCATATGAGGTGTCCATTAGGTTATATACAAAAACAAAGATAAACAATATTAATAAATAGGTCGATCATATTTCAGGAACAACTAGGAAAACTGTTAGGCAGCCATGTATGTGATGCCCACCCCGAGGCAGTGTGGAATGACATCCGGAAAGCTATGGAAACAGCATTGACATCTGCAAGTACGGTAAACCACAAGGTTAGGGAGAAACACTGGATCTCAACAGCATCTACCGCACTGATAGATGCTCGAAAACTCATTCCATCTGGCTCTGAACATAACGAAGAGCGGAGTCAGCTTAAGCGCAAGCTAACAAGTCTACGCACTGATCGTGAATAGTGATGGGTAGCGATGAATATAAAATTGTGCTACTATATCTATATCAGAATTTCCCTGTTTTACGAAGCATTGATGTCTACTTATTGTTAAGTATAATTATTTATCTCAGTTAATACTAGATTATGACTATAAAAATCTAAGCGTATTAAGTAACTGATTAACCTGACTGTATGCACAGCGATCTAAATCAATGTTATGTCATTATTGTCAACAAAATGCAATGTTTTCTTTGTTAGTCATATTAATTCTGGGTTATCCACTTTTATTATTTTCTTTCATTTTTTTTTACTTGGTTTAATAGCAGGACTAGAGTTTTTACTTTCGTTTTGATTATTAGGGTAATTTTATAAAGCTTGCTTATTAAGATCAGACTATGCTTGTTTACTAAAAGCATCCAGTGTATTCTTCTGAATTACTGGTTATATTTTGTAATTTATTCGTTTGTTTGGAGTTCTTTGTTTCCGTAACCTCATGCATTCATTTAAGCTAAAAAGATATGTGTATATTTATGTCCACATTTCATTCTGCTTATATAAATTTAGGCACTGCAACAATGAATTAATGTGCCCGTTCTCATTTGTTGTTGTCATTCTTTCTTTCTTCATAGGTCGTTTGTTGACTGTAAAGTTCTTACGGGATAATAAGTATTGTTTACGCTTCCCTGAGGCTCATAGTATAAAACAGCCACTTCAAATAGAAGATTTCGAATGAATAATCAGTAGTCGTGTGTATTACAAATTGTTAAAAAGATGTGTTGTACTATAATTCTACCTAGCAGTTTTTAATGAGTTTCTTTTTTAATATGTATACTTAAAATTGTTCGGTGTTCCACTTTATAAAATAGCATTTACACAACATCTATTATTACCACTACATTTTCCAGTCTTTTTTAATGCATTTTTCATTTATGTTGTTATTTACTTTGTAGAGTTTGTATATTTGTTTATCAATTCACTGTATTTTTAAGCTTTGTAATCTTGCGTATATATTTTCTGAATAAATTATATGCTGTTAGTTTCCTCATTATTATATTGGTATGTGAACGTGCAAAGTAAGATGATTGTACAACTGATTCTCAGTTCCAAGTACAACAAAATATGCTCAGTTTGTTTTGGTTTACTCTCAGGAACTCTCTGGGTTGTTGGTACGTATTACTTCCATCAGCTTCTCTTGCACTTTTTTGAGGATACCATTGGGGTCTTTTAATTTTATCTGAAAATAAAACATACGTATTAAGGAGTGATTACTAAAATCAGTTGGTTCGTGGTAAACAATGTTTTGTCGGTGTTTAGCTCTTATGGGAATATGTGATTTGAGACTAAGCAGTGGAATAGTGGAAATCTGTTGGAGATTGGAATGTCTCCAATTTTTCCAACGTCATTGGGTAACAACTCTCTTCCTGGCGTGGTTGAGGTTAAGACTTCACAAACGATTGGAGCGGTTTACTCTAGTAGTCATTGAACTAATATCTAGTAGTATGTTTCACATATATATGGGTTCGTGAACGTGATATACGTATCAACAGTATTTACCTAGGTGTTTTATATAATAAGATGTATCTTTTGAAGTATCTTGTCAGTTATGAGTGGGTCTCAGGAAGTATTCTGTTCAATAATAATGTAATCAGATCATTTTATCTAGTATTCCATTGTGTGATCGACAACCTTGTCGGTCCTGTATCTCGTATATTCATTTCTGTTTGCAGTTTAAGGCTAATATAGTTGCACACTTGTTCTGACGGCAAAACTAAATGCGATTTTCATTAGTAAACGAATGAGGTGTATAACATGAACTTACTGCAAATGCATTGGGCATAGATGGTTTATCACTTATCATCAAAATGTCCCTAGTATTCTGAACAACGGTGTGATGTGCGACGTTAGAATAATAACTCACATTTGGTGTGGTTAGTGAAATTTTGCGCACATTACTAAGATCTTCTACGTAAAAAGTTTCCATTAATGTTGTGTGGTGTATACTGCTTCACTACACAAGATTGTATTCTCGAAAGAAATATTTTAGTTGTGTTCTTTATTCAGGTTTTAAATCTCACTTGATTTTAGTTGAAGTTTTGAGATCATCAAACTCACTAATGTTGTGACGTGGTCAACTTATACAAACAACAGTCTATGTGAATCTGTTATAAAAAATGTCAGATAATTCCTTCAATTGAAACAAAGTATTATCAGTTTAAAAGGTTTGTCTCTTCGTGTCTTGTAGTAACTATCATATATAATTAACGTTGGTTCTGCTGACTTTGTTCGTAAAAGTCAAGCTTTTTTATTGCAAATGGTATGAAATATATTCTTACTTATAACTCATGATGTCCTTTGTTTAGTTCTGACTCAGTTCATTTCGTATATGTCTCAGTGTATAATAGGTATTACTATAATTACCTCACGATTTCGTAACTACTTTCGTGTTACGTCTATAAACAATTTGTTGCAATCACCTTATAATCTATTCTGAAACCGGATGTAGTCTATGTTCTTAGTTCACTCAATATATTATTTACTTCTTTAATCGTTCGTTTTTCTTTTATCTGAAAACATGAAACTATTGTAATATTGTTATCAGAGAATATTTATAAATCAAAATCTACCTCGGGTATTTCGGACTCCGTTGGACTTTTCGCTACTTGCCTTCCGAGGTCCAGAATTTGGGAAGATTTTGGTACATCATCACACCATATTCCCTCCATTAGTTGGCCAGTATTAAGGAAGAAATATTTCCCTACTCCGTTCTTCTTGTCATTTAACCACTGTCCTTCAAATCTATTTTCATTTGCTGGAAACTCTACTTATATTGTTCCAAGTTACCCAATCTAAGCATCCCATCTCCATGCCGTTTATCATTAAACCACTGTCCCTCATAAATGCTTCCATCAGGGTAGTACATTCTTCCCCATCCAGAACGTTTTCCATCGTACCATTCACCTTCGTATATTTTATTATCTGAATACCAGTTGTTTCCATAACCCTTGAAAAACTGTTAATGACGTTTACAACAACTTGCATGCCGTTTGTCGTATTTCCAGGATCCTGAGTAAACATTTATTTGTTTCCCGTTTCTAAATTTCCGACTCAAAACACCAGATCCACTACGCATATTGTTCTCCCAATTACCTTCATAAACAAGGTTTGGTTTTTTCCATTCGTATATACCGAAACCTGTTTAATACAAACCTTTTTATTTTGTGCAAGAGTTTCAATGGATAAACATCAATCGGGACATACATTATTGTACTAATAGCATAATATACCGAACGAGTTAGTACGTTATAATGAACCTAGCACAACTGAGGGTTATTTGTATTAATTACCGATAAATGGAAGTATAAATCAAAAGAAGAGATTGTGTATGCTTCAGAAGTTATATTAAGAATATATTCAAACTTGTAAAGCCTGTAGATTCAAATGTTCCGCAAGAGGAACTATTTGTATTTACATAAAGGCGAGTAGGGTCATTATGAAGTGAGTTCAAGTGTCCACGAAAATGTAACTACATGCCTTTGCCAAGTAGTTCCACATTTAAATTGAACATGTAGTTTAGACAAAGTAATATTTCATGTTTTTTACGTCATACAGTCACCAGAAATCAACCTAATAGTATATTCGGTTTTATGAGAACGCTCGTATTGTATGGTGTGTGATTTAAATCGACACTGAAGATTTTGCAAGAATTCGGTTACTTTAAGTATGATAGGTCAATTTTCCTGTTTTAATATCAATGCTACTATCCAAGGCTATAGACGCTGTTTGACATATCGAATCCGAATATACAGAAACTTTACACTAATTAAGTAAGGCGATTGTATGCATGGAAGGTTTTAAAACATTTTGCTTGTAATTATCAACCGACAAGTAGTTTAAATCACAGACTGATTTTATTTGAAAGACCACCAAGGATTGGACAGTTGTTCTATCCTAGTAAGAGACTTATCAGGAATGCCCGTCGACAGCCCAGCCAAAGATTGTCGGCCGTGCAACGAGCAACACAACCCGAGGCAACTAAGGCAGTATCTAATGGTCTATATGTTCAACTTTAATCGATTCTCCATGAACAGTTAAGTTAGATCGTGAGTACATTGAAGTTATTCATCGAATCTAATGGATTCTGGAATGGGTGTTTGGAAGTCAAACGCTGGTTATGAGGCCAAAATTCTTTGGTAATCTCACCTGTGTAGTTGTGTTTGTGCACTGCTTAATTCTGTACTACACCAAGCATCTGTTTAGTTCTTAGTTTTCTATGGTCGTTCAATAATAATTAGTCCTTGACGCAATCTATTAAAATTCGACACCTTCCATAAACTGTATATCGAAAAGGCTTATTGAAATTCGGTTGGGTTGGTCAGTCTATATGAATGAAAATTAATCTATTTATTTTAACACAGTATATCGCAGTGCCACATAGTTCTTACACATAATAATCATGTGGCACTACGATTTTAAGACAAAACGTAGTGGTCATCAACATACATAGCGTACATAATATACATATATATAATATTACTACACGCTCAAGCAGACAAGGAAGGGAAAATAAAGGCGAACAAAGGGGTAAATGCTTTGGAAAATAATGGGGAAACGCGCAAAAATGCATAATATGATTGAAAATAGGTTTCGTACCATGACGCTTGTTGTGTTTCCATTCACCTATGTATTTGTCACCATTAACTGAAAAAACAGTATTTCTTAAACCATTTTTATCAGCTTTAAAGTCAATCTCTTTGTGTCTCGAATTAACATTTTTCAAGCAAGAAGTCGTTGACATTTGTTCTCCCGCTAACTGGTCACCATGACATTTGTGAAGATCATTAACCGAAACTCCTTTGAAACTTGTCACGGAATTACAAGAGAGGTTAATTCCGTTTCTCAACCATTCTTCAAGCGTAGGATCGTCGTATGAAATGTCAGTATCGAAATGTCTTTTTACACAATCTACCTCGTATTTTTTGTTATACAACTCAACAGCGTTGCGATTTCGGCAATCAAATCCAGAGATCAGTACAATGTTCATTGAATAATAATTTGGAACATACAACGGGTTTTCAGGGTTTGACAACGCTTTCGTCGGTGACACATTTGTGATCGAGAGGCGCCAATACATTTCATTTAGATACTGTAGATGAAGTGGTTCGAAAATATATTTAGGAGGTTGTCGATGGGTTGATAAGCATCCGGTATAAGCTGGCTTGTAACCAAAAGGCGTGTGTAGCACTGTGTACCCACTCATTGTCTGGTGAGTGTGCGTTACCATACGCCTACAACTATGGTGTGACCAATGAGGTCAACAACAATGTTAACGACATAAACGACCATTTATTTTTGTAATTTATTCACCACTACAGCTTTTAATCCCCTGAAGTAATAGTGATGACTATTTATGGCCAGTGAAATGTCACTGATCCATCGCCAAATCATCCGTCAGTTGGGTCACTGAACAGGTCATCAATCCCCGTCAAGTCCAAGGACAACAAACAGGCACTGTTTAATCTCACTCCATGGACTGACCTATGACCTAGTGATCGCACATTTGCTTGTGCCTACTTCAACCATTATTTTCGTTTAATAACATCCTTTGTGTCTTGCGGTCTTCAAAGCATTCATAGTACCTTGATACGACGGAGTAATCCACTTTAGATGCAGACCGCGAAGTGCGACTGCACAGCTAGCTGTTATTCACACTATTTCCATCTAACTCAATAGACC